GGCACAGTGATGATAAGAAATTATGTCACCAAAGGCATGCTCAGTATCACTCTTTTGGGGCTGTATTGTGGCAAGCCATGATGCTGGGAGACTTTCTTTCCAACTTCTGCTAATAAATGTTTAGCTCCAGTATAATAAAAGCTAATGATAAGTTACCTGTTTGAATTGTTGAAAATAATTTCTTATGGGATTTAATTTACAAAAAGAAACATTTAATTAAAAAAAAAGAGAAACAGTTTAGAGGTTCTCAGACATGTTCACAGTGGGCACATCTACATGTGCAATTAATACAAAGCAATAAACTATGGAGTGTATTGCTCTTAGGCATACTGTTTGCATGCGCACTTAGGACCACAGCATGTTGCGCTGAGTTGGAGCAGCACTGACTGGCAGGGAGCCATGGGACTCAGCCTGCCAGCCTAGGTCTGCTCCTGTCTGGCTCGGTGTGCTGTTGAGTGACTGTCTAGGACACAAGGGTGCTTCAGTGAGGGCCTAGCCAGTAGGCAGCTCCCACACTGAAGCACCCTCAAGCCCCAGCCAGCTGGGGCAGCGTCTACAGATACAGTGCTGTGAAGTAAAAAACTCTGTACCAGGATAGTACTTGTAATGTTTTCAGCAAAATACAAGTACTATCCTGCTGCAGAGTTTATTAGTTTGCTCCAGCCAAAATGCCCTGCATGTGTACATGCAAGAAGCTTACTGCAAAGCTAATTAGTCTACTCCGCGGTAAACATCTTGTGTAGACACGCCCAGTATGGTTCACGTCTCAGTTGAGACAGCGTGGTGGACCAGCTTCCCCCACAATTATAATAAGATAATATTTTTGTGGAAACTGAAATAATTGCATGCATAGAACAAGAAACATTAGGTTCCTGTAGATGTATTTTTAATCCTGCTTAAATTTAACACCATCTCTTATTGCTCTTTATCTACCTTTCCCATCTATCTTCCTCTTTAAAGATGGAGTGTTTTAAAAAATCTTTCTCTTGTCTACATTAAAGCTTTTGTTTGTTAGTAGCATTGGCTAAGCTGCATTCCAAATTTACATGTTCCAACAATAATCCTACAATCCGTGGTAATATTATTGACCTATCCAATCAAATCCTCAGCCCAGCTGAGGTGTCTATATTATTTGTCTTTCTGCTCCATTACGCATCTTGCACCTGTATGGAGACCTCAAGTGTTTTGCCCTGCTATCTAACACTAAGGGAATATTTCCAGACAAGGAGCCACGCAACAAATAACTCACCACAGACCTGAGCCATACACAACACAAAGGAGGACAGCCCATGCACTGCACCTTAAGGCCGCAGGCCCACTCTGGCCATGTATATAAACTGGTTTTGTCTCTGTGCCCACTCTGAGATTGCCAACCCCCCCCCCCCCACAATGTTTTTTTTTGGAACTCCCCCCCCCCCCCCCCCCAACAATGTTTATGTTACACCTCAGTACAATGGAATGCCATACACATCTTTAAAACAACCCTGATGTTATACAACAGGTTGATAAGCAGGGATTCTGATTTTCTCTGATAAAAAAAAAAAAAATCCCCAATTTTCAGATTTAAAAAAGTAACCCTTTTACTTTACTTGCTGATAAGGGAGGGAGCCATTGTTGTCATGGACAAAGCAACATATCTGCAGGAAGCTGAGGAACAACTTTTTAGCACAGGGTTTTACAAGCTCCTGACTGTGAGGAGCCCATGACACAATACCAGAAGGAACTAAATAAACTCTTAAAGAAACTACCTCTGGAAACACTGAACAGGATTCATGCCTCCACTGTCCAGGATCCTAGGCAGGCAACTTTTTTTTTTTACTTATTACTGAAGATCCACAAACCCGGCAACACAGGACATTTCATTCTCTCTGGCATTGTCACCATCACAGAGGGAGTTTCTGACTACATTGACTCAATCCTATTCCCACACCAAGGTTGCTGCCAGTTATTTATTGAAAGCTACTACAAATTTCCAAAAGAAACTACAGTAGTTTCCATTTGCAAACTTTCAACCACCACCATATTCACTACAACAGATATCATAGCTCTGCACACCAACATCCCCCATGAGTAGGGCTACCATATGTCTGGCTTTTCCCAGACATGCCCTCTTTTTTGGCTCCCTGTCCTCGTGTCCAGGTGGGTTTTTAAAATGTGAGCAAATGCCTGGGTTTTTACTTTGCCTTTGCTTTCCTGGGGACTAGCAGCTTGGCTGCTTGGGCTGGGAGCAGTGGGCAAGGTGATTGGCTGTCAGGGGTCACGTGCTCTGCATGCAGGACCTGGCAAGCTGCTCCCAGATAAGAGAGAGAGTGAGTGAGTGTGTGTGTGTGTGTGTGTGTGCGTGCAGTTGCGTGCGCATGTGTGTGCATGCGTGTGTGAGCTGCGTGGGCAGCAGGACTGATGGGGCAGGAGGCTGCAGGTCAGGAGTGAGGGGCATTGGCAGGGCTGGAGGGGCAGAGGCTTAAGAGTGAGGGGCAGAGACAGGACACAGGCATATCACCGGCCCCCCCAATCATATACCTTTCCCCCTCTCCTCCCCCCTAGCTCCTCCTCCTTTTTCCCCCAGCTACGCCCTCCCCCTCTCAGGTGTCCTCTTTTTTGATCCTGGAAACATGGTATCCCTACCCCATGAGGACAGATTGCAAGCCACAAAGAAAATTACCCTTACAAGGGTACTGCTTCTGTTTCCATGGCATTCTCTTGCTTTGTCCTCCTCACACACAACTATTTCAGATGTGAGGACTCCCTCTACCTAGAAACAAATGGCACTGCCATGGACACAGGTATGCACCCCCTCACATAACAATATATTTATGACAGACCTTGAATTCTGGGTCTTTCACAGCTGCCCTATCACATCCTCCCACCCCTGGTTTACCTAAGGCCCCTGGCACATATTCATTTAATGGCACAATGGGATAAGACAACCCGCAATCCCAACAATCACACCTCTTGCCATACTGTACATACGTGGCAGGATGCATGATTTTGGGATTGGGGATCAAGTCTCAGTTGTGTGAATACTGCTTGCTAGTTCAGGAGCACTCCTGATTTTTTAAAGTCCTGGTGCCTTGGGGCTCCAGGATCTGGGAGAAATTCCCCAATCCCAGGACACCATGTGTAGACAATGTCAGAAAGCCATGTGTAAGGCCAAAGGTTTTTAAAAGTCTGATACATGGGGACCCTGGGATCAGGGAATCTTTCCCCATTCCAGGGTCTTCATGGCCAGGATGTGTTAAGTGCCTGGCTCCACAGCTCCCTGGCAGCTGTAAGGCAAGACAGTCAACCCATCGGATCACTGGGAGTCCAGCAGCTCTCCACAATCAGGTAAGCTGGCTCAGTTGATGACTCAGCACCCTGAAAACAGTGGGGTGCAGCTCCATGCAGGGCTGCACCACACAGCTATCAGTCTGCCCACATGGGATGGGTGTCAACCAAGCCACACATTCAGCTCCACTGCCACATGTTAAATTTCAGGCATAATGGCAACCAGCCACAAAAATATTACATACTGGGCACATCTACACGTTCATTAATGTGCCTTAAATACTGAGCATTGAATTTAGTACTTGCATAATAAAGTACTAACTAAATGCATAGTAAGTAGAGTTACTAAGCAGTAGCACTGGTACAGGTTTTTTGTGATGCTTACTGCTTATTAGCCTAATAATACTGCGCAGTAGGCTATTAGCATGATTTTTAATTGCCACGCTACTGAGCAGTGTGATTAGGCTAATGCACAATAAGAGTCTCATGTAGGCGAATCCAGTTTGTGGAATATTTTTGTGGCTGGTTTCCCATTTTGCTGTGCCATTAGTTGCCTGAATATGTTTGGGTTGCTATTGATGGCATGATTAACAAATTAATGATATCTTGGGTATAACATCTGCCAGAAGCCTAAAATACATTGATGACATCATTATATGGACACTCAGGAAGGAATCTTTAAAGAAATTCTACCAGGAATTTAACAACTTCCACCCCTCCATCAAACTGACTGCAGAATATTCCATACAGAAAATTTACTTCCTGGATACCACTGTGAAAGTCCGCAACAGTCATATCACCACTATGGTATATCGGAAACCAATTTGACCACTCAGCTAGTTCCATGCCAGCGACTCTCATCCTACGTATACCACTAGATCGATTGTCTACAACCAAGCTCTACATTACAGCTATGTCTGCTCTGATCCCACTACCTGGGATCTATGTCTGTAAAGATCTGAAGCAGGGGTTCTTACGTTTAAATTACAGGCCTAAAACCATAGTTACCCAAATCAACAAAGCCAGACTCAGCCCCTGCTCCAGCCTGCTACAATACCAACCCTGCACGAGAACCAATGAATGCCGATCTGACATCAAGGCACACCCCCTGGAACATTCTCAGAGTAGCTATTCTTAGAAGACAAAACTTTAAAAACAAACTTTGAAAATTTGACAGAACAAACTTTGACAGAAAATTGTGGAACAAGAAAACATCCATACACAGGATTGCATTAAGCATGATCTTAAACAGGACCTATGGATTCTTATGCCATGACATGGATTAGCTTTTATAACCTCTGTATCCCTCAGTGGGTTAATGGCTTTGTTTTTCTCTCTCCAGCCCACCTTCTCTCTTTCAACAGTATCCCCTCCTCCTCTCCCCGCCCAA